CTTTCAAGAAACCTTAATTTTTCTATTTTCTTATCTTCTTTACTTTTTTATAAGTTTATTTAATAGAGAGTATAATAACAATTGATAAGACATTAAAATTGGTACCTATTTAGGATCCAAGACAAGAGGTATTATTCAACCATGGGGTTTTTGTATTACACATTGCTGTCCTTGATGTAGTTGTTTAGATCACAAATATCAGCATGCAGAGTTAATCAAAGTGAAAATTCTAAACATTAACTGCTATTTTCAAAAAAACTGATGGAAATTATTAGTACAATCATCTCAGCCACCCTGTATATGTACTTTCATGTTTTTCCCTCCTTTCTTTTTTCTTGTCTTTTCTCCTTTCTCTCATCTTTGTTGTCTAATCCTTAAATTCAGTTTCTTTCCATTCTGCTATATCAATTATACCTTTCAGGTTTTATTGATTTTTTCAGGTTCTTATACTAGGGAGAAAATACGTTATATACATGTGTGGGTCTGGAATCTGAAGAACTGAACCCAGGTTTAGAAGTTTACCCCACAGAAAAACCAACACCAGAGACACAAGTGTTGGAAAGAAAGGTTTATTGTATAGCCAAAGAATGGAGAAGAGATTTTTCTCAAAGTATTTCCTCAACTCCAAAAGTTGAGACCAAGAAAGAACTGATTCTAAGAAATAATTTTCACAAAACACAGTTCATTTCAGCTCAGACTCCACTGGCTGTTCCAATTCTACTTTCTGCCCTTTCTCTGTGTAAGTTTTGTGTAATTTGGGTAGTACCAGCTCTGGAATTCCCTTGCTAGCCAAATACAGGAATAATGAAGGAGAAAAACACACAGAAAAGCGGGGAGGAATACTCTTGCCTTTTGGGGAATAGGCAGAGCTCTTCCAGGAACTCAAGTGCTACTTTGTATTCCTTTCATGTGTTTCTGGTGATAGCACTGAAGTTAAAGGGGTGGTTGAGTCAGACTACAGTGATAGGCAAATGTCACACAAATCTGAATCAGTTCTTCCTTGGTCTCAAGTTCCCGGCAGAGGACTAGATCTTCAGGGTGGGGTGGGGCAGGAAATGGGGAGGGAGGAGTCTGCAGGAGCACAGCAAGGTTTTGGCGGACAGACTGCCTCCAGCACGCACACCAGCAGCCCAGAAACTCATTCTTCGTGATTTAAAAATGAAATTTCTCAACAGAAACTACTTGCAAGTTATTTCTCAGTCCTTTCCATTTGTACAGCATTTGCATTGGCAACAATGGTCCTGGAGGCAAATGTTTAAAATACAGACACAGCAGCATTGGCTGGAAATAAGGTACTGCTACTTCTGCATTGTGCTTTTGATCATTTTGTGTTCTGGTCACAAAACTGGAAACAAGAATGCATTTTTAATTTTCAAGAAGAGTCATCAGTTATTTTCATAAGCTTTAAAAACGGTTAAAAAGCGCTGGTCAGATAGCTCAGTGGACTAAGCCCCCGCTGAGGCAAGTGCAGGGACTGGGGTTCGATTCCTTGTACTGCCACACAGCCCCACCCCTAGGCGCAAAGAGTGGGCATGGGGGGCGTACATCTGTAGTCCCAGCACTGGGGAGGCTGAAAACAGGATCATTACAAGTATGAGCTGTGTAGTGAGACCCTGTACTGAATGAATGAATGAATGAATGAATGAATGAATGAATGAATGAATGAATGAGTGAGTGAATGGTTATGGGTCTTGGAGAACTTGAAGATCAAGCAACTATTATAAATGGGCATAGGCTATGGAAATAAATGTTCACTTAAAAAAAAGATTGTTAGATATTACTAGTCAGATGTTTTACAGAATGTTAAATCTTTCTTGGCTTTGTCCTCTGTAATCATCTTACAACTCTCCAAATCTCAATCATTTCTACCATCTCCCACATGGGGTCCTCTTTTATCTTCTACTGCTATTAAGCTGCAGCCAGCTATATTCAGCTACCAAATATAATCACTGTATCTGCAGCCTAAAGGAACATACGTAAGTTCTTAGTTAAGATTTTGATATACACCTGTGATATAATAAATACATTTGATCATTGTTCCAGTTCCTGACAGAGCTCTTAAAAGCATTAGAATTTCTTCAGTGATTGGAGTGAGTTTTGTAGTTCCTAGCAAGTTCTTTTAGATTGAACCAGTTTATGTTGATGAGATGACTTGGCCCAGGTCTTGTAGATAATCTCAGCATGGGAATGGTCACCAGAAAGATCAAATAGGAGACTGAAACCTTCCATCCCATCCCAACCTTAGAGGAAGACAGGGTTGCTAGAGATTAAGTTCTATAAAACCTCTTTAAAAGTGAGATTCAGATAATTTCCAGACCAGTGAACGGGGCAAAATATTGGGAGACTGTGGCACCCACAGAAGAGAACACAGAAACTCTGAGCTCCTCTGGACCACACTTTGCCCTATTCATTTTTCCTAGGCAGTTGTTCCTTGGCTGTATTCTTAGTAAGTTGGGGAATGTATATACCTGAGTTCTGTAAGCTGCTCTAGTAAACTGTTGAACCTAAGAAGGGAACTGTGAGAACCGCTAATTTACAGCCAGTTGGTCAGAAAGAATGACAGTATCTCACCTCTTAGTGGTGTAGTCTTCCAAAATAGTCCCTTTCATGATACTTCACTCTTCTACATAGATCATCTTGTTATGCTAAAATGTGCCTCACCCCAATTCTGACCACAATTACTCATAGTTAGTCTCCTATCCAACTTGAGATTCCATAGTACATCATTACAGGAAATACTTCGGCAAAACTTTGATATGCATGACTTTTCTATTAATAAATACAGGGAGGAGCTCAATGTTGGACAAAGCCAAAACAGGTAATACTCAAGCAACTGAGTGCTACTAGATAAAATCACACAATGGGACAGGTTGACATGATGGTACATTTACAATTGCTCATTTTAACATTGCCTGGCAATCTTACTGACATTCTCTCAGCAGCTCACTCCCCCTAGCTCTTGATTATTTCAAAACTATTTTACTCTTCTAACCCCTAACCCTATATTACTGCTTCAACTTCAAGTAAATTCTTATCTTTCGCTTTACAGAAAATATGGAAGATACCATAAAGAAGTTCATGCCACCAAAAATATAAAGCTTTCTTTATATCTAATCTTTTTTTTTAAGTTCTATTTTCCTTGCTGTACCCCCAATTACACTGATTTACCCTTCATAAGAGTTCTCAGGCACCCTCTACTGTCGTTACTTTTCTTTCCAATATTTTCAATATTTTTCTTAATTGGATTCCTGCTGTGATTATTGTTATATGTTACCTTGAATAGGAAACACCAAGTAGGTTAGTAAAGTTCTGGATATGGCTATGGATAGCTGACGTGTAGGTCAGCAAACTTATGAGGTAAGACCCATCCCAGCAGATGTGGAGGGAACAGAAAGGGAAAGAAAGAAGTGTGCTCTTTTTGGGAGGAATTCTTCAAGCTTCCAGCAGACTGTTTAGCCTCTGACAGACTCACACTGGTGACTCTACAGTGAGATTCCAGGTTTCCAGCCTTTGACTGCTTTCCAGGGTCAGATTTTTTATTTTTTTGTAGTCTTCTACCTTTGGTTCACCCACTTCTGATCCCAGAAACTTATCCAATAAATTACTTTGTGTAATTATATATGTATTCTATATTGATTGTTCCTCTACAGAACGTTGATACACCTGTGTACGGCATTTATTCATATTCTGATTTTTCCCCAACAAAAATAGACACAACTCTTTCAATTCACTCTCTTCTATAATCCCTCCTTCCAAATGTATGTGGATATAGCAGTATATTCAACCTGTCTTCTTTATAGCTAGGCTGCTGGCATTTTTAACTATGAAAATAGTGTTTGGATGAAAATTTTTACATACTTTTTATGTGCACACGTATATGCATTGCCTGGATTTCAAAAAATAGGATTGCTGTGTTAGAAATAATAAATCCCAGCACTCTGGGAGGCTGAGGCAGATGGATTTGCCAGTTTGAGCTTAGCCTGGGCAACTCAGTGACTTAACATGACCTTTCCTCAAAAATATAAATTAATTAATTAAAAAGGAATGGGAATGTAGTTCAATGCAAAACTCCTGGTCTTAATCCCCAGTACCTGGACAGAAAAAAAAGTTGAAATTTTCTCTGCAACAGAGTCCTCAGTTTTGACAACAGCATCTTAGCAAACTTTGGAAATTTTTGATAGATGACAAATGCTAACAGTATTACCTGCATTTCTTTTATTATGATGTCTTCATAATAAAAGCCCTTTATGGAAGTTTAAAGGATGTCCACTCTTTTTGTGTGTGTGTGTGTGGTCTATTAGTGCCCTTTTTTCTATTGGGTTGTTGGTCCCTTTCAATACTGACATGCCATTTGTAGCAGGGAGAAGAGAAGACGCTAGCCTTTTCTTATTCCACTACAGAGCCACTGCTTTAAGGAGGGTGAATCTCAGTCATTCGTGTTCCTCTGCTCTTCAGTAAAAGGAATTCCCTGTTACAACTTGTACATACCACTCAAAAGTAGTATGTTCACCATGAAAGTATTAGAAGAAGATTTAATCCACATGCAATTTCATTTGCCCATTTTCCTTTTCTAAGTGCCTGAAGTAAAAGGAGGCATCTTCTTGTCACACCTCACCTCCTTGGAGATATCATCAATGAACATTTGTAGTTTATAAAATACCCCCATAGCCTTTTTTTGCCATTAACCATATTAAGTAATCTATGTGTCAGAAAATATTTTGAATATAAAATTGTGATCAATTTAGGAACTGAGATCTATGGAAACCTCATTTTCTTTCTGGTATTGTGTTCATTTTAGAACAGAACCTTCTGAGAAGGCTTGGGACACATAAGAGCTTTAATCATTTGTCAGCACCTCAAAAGGCTGGATTAGAGCACTGACGCATCCTCTTTGCCTCTTCCAAATTAAGCTCTTGGTTAAAAATATTTTAACATCCACTTAGTAGCACCCTGTCAAAAACATCAACAAGAACCAAAAACCTCAAACACATAGGTAATTTAAGTTTGAATTTATTTTTCAGAATAAAAATGTAAACTAAAAAACTTTTACAAAATTGTCACAGAGAAACCCATCTTGGGATATTATTACATGCTACATTTACTTAGGAAAAGTTAACAGATCTTATCAAAACAAACAGTTGTCAATTATAAATGTAAATTCCTTTCTTTGAGCCAAAAGGAAGTTCACATAAAATGTCAGACTGAAAGAAAATGAAGCACACAGGTGCAGCCAGCCGTGGCTCACTCCATGAGCCAGGAAGCTTGGAGCCTGGCCTGCCCCGCTGGGGCTGAGCTCTGGCCTGCAGTTTTCTCATATGCAAAGAGGGGCTCAGACTGGATGCTTCTAAAGCTCTGTGTGCTGTGGTCCTTGTTATTTTAGGTAACAGTAAAAAATGTTACCACTATTTTTCCTCTTATTGTAAACTTCAACATTATACCGCATGCTTACATATTATACTATGAAGAATATTATGCTTGTGACTCTTCAGAAAAGCTCCATTTTAGGAATTTCTCACTTGCTTCGCTTTTTCACATGCCTTGGGAGTATCTTCCATACACACTGTATGTTCCTGAAGAAACCGTCTGGCAGGACTTTTGTAACGTGGCATCGGTAGCTCTGCCTCATTTGGACAGAGCCACTTCTCACTCAGGCTCAAATCATCTTGCAAACTACAGATTGCCCATCAGATCCATTTATTGTTCTTGCTTTACATTCCACTGTTTCTTGTACAGACAATATTTTAGTATGTTTTGCAGAACTTCTTCATAGCATCCTAATAATCGTTTGCGGTTTTTACCTAACAGATTTTCAGATATCTTGCTGGTGTGTAAATTTCATCTGATGTATGTAAGAACAAATGAAAAGAAACATGCTGGTAGATCTTAGCACCTTATACTTATGACTCTGTCTCTAGTAATATTGCATGTCAGCCTTCAAAGAACCAATTCAATTTACTTATACTTTCTCTTAAATGTACTCTTTCCTTGTCAATAGTAGACATGATTTTTTACAAGAAATACATGCTCAGAATAAACATCACAAAAATCCTGATTTAAAAATGCAGTTGGGGGCTGGGGAGATAGCTCAGTAGAATAAGGGTCCTGAGTTCAATCCCTGGTACAGAAAAAAAAAATGCAGTTGATTCTTTTTCATACATCAGTTCTAAAATAAAGGTTCAAGCCTTTGACCATGCCCATGGATCTGCAACATCTAAGAAACATGAGTGCGCATCATCATTTCTAGTGTTACAAAAACTAGAGTGCACAGTCTTAAGTGTATAGGAGAGTTTCATTAAAATTCACTACTGCAAAGTTTAACTTCCTCATAATTATTTGAAAATTCATAGCATATATCACAAAATGTTGCTAATTATGAAAAATGTAAAATTATAATAATTTCTTTTCATAGTGATTATGCCAACATCCATATTTATTTATTCCTAATTAAATTCAATTTTAACTACCTGATTCTGGGTTTGAGGTAGCTTCATAGTGGTTCTTTTGCTAGGGAAATGGTATAGTTCTGAAGTGTTCAATTAGAGAAAGAAATACAGCACTATTTATACTGTTTCCTCACTTAACATACAAACTTAAAATAAGTCAACCATTTTTTACTGATAAAAGTACAGTTCTTTTGTGAGCATGGACACAATACACGGAATCTGTTTCTTTGCATGAAAAGTGGAATCAAGAGAAAAGGACTCAAATTCTGTCGCTACCTTCCGGTTAACCCGAGTAAGAATGTGCATAAACTCCAGCTTGTGTGCATATAATTTCAGCATAGCACACAGTGACTGAATGAACCAGGAACCATCCTTTGAATTTCTCCAGGAATAGTAACCTAAAAGGAAAAATAAAGCCAAATACCAAGGATATCTGATTTTAGCTGATTCTATAAATTAGTATATAATCACATCTACAAAAATAAGCATACAGTTCCACAGGTTTTGTTAGCCATAAAAGGAAAAAAGTGACACCTTTGGTTTTAGGAGAAATGATGCCAGAGGGGGGAAAATGTATTGGGCATACACTTCTGCTTTGAGCAGGGGAAGAGAACTGTGGATTGTTTAATTACTGAAAACTTCTCCTTTTAAAAAAATTTTATTTATTATTTGATATAGGGTCTCATTACGCAGTTTGCACTCATAGTGATTCTCCTGTCTCAGCATTCCCAGCACTGGGATTACCAGCACAGCATGTGGTATTGGGGATCAAACTTGGGACCTTGTGCTTGTCAGGCAGGGGCTTAAGCCACTAAGCTATCTCCCCACCTCTTGGACTCCCCTTGTTACAGGTAGGAACAAGTATCTCCTTTCTTATAGGGAGGAACAAGTCAATGTGCCAAATGTAAGAAGACACAAAAATGCAGACATATCTTATTTTATTTTTCGAGTCAGTCTCACTGGCTTTAGACTATATACAGCCCAGGCTGGTCTCAAACTCATGGCAGTCTTCCTTCCTCAGCCTCTCTCCAGTGCAGTGAATACAGGTATGCACTAACCACACCTAGTGGATTACATTTTATTTTGCATTTTATTTTAATATTAGGTAAGAAACAAACTGTGTATGTATTCCTACACATTTAAGAATATTAGGGCCAGCGAGATAGCTCAGCGGACCAAGTGCTGGCTTAGGGAAGTGTAGGGCCTGAGGTCCATTGAGCAGGCCACCAAAACTGGGCACGGTGGCGCAAGCCTGTAATCCCAGTGCTAGGGAGGCTGTAAACAGGATAATCACTATGAGTCCAAGCTGTGTAGTGAGACCCTGTACCAAATACATAAAAAAAAAAAAAAAAAAAAAAAACTTAAAAAGAATATTAGTTCGTCAAAGAGAAATCTGAATCAAGTATAATGAACAGAAAATCCAAAAAGGAAAAATTATACTTGGTATTCTTTAACTACTATTATGCCCATTGCATTAAATTTGTTAGTGTTTTGCTTAAAAAGGTACTTAAGAGGATAAAAGAAACCATAAGCACATTTAAAAATGTAACATTGTTTTAAACTACTTTTATTATGTTTCCAAATTCTCTTGACACTGAACAGGTACATACTCATATCATTTATATGATATTAGCAACATAGTCACAAAAAAGTGGAAAGCTGGTATATCCTGATAATACTTTTTACTTCTTTATTTTCTGTTAATTAACTTCTATTTCTACCCTCTCCCAACTAGTCATGTTGAGCTTAATTCTTACCCTCCAAAATTATCAGAAAGCATGCATTAATCCTTTCTCGTCTTCAGGGGATATGTTCCCAAGTCCTGTGGGTGTTTGGACCATCTATGTTCTTTGTTTTTTCCAATGTACACACTTACACAGGTTCAGGTTTTCTGCTCACAGTGCTTCTTCTACTTAACTAAGCATGCCCATATTGTGACAACTTCTCTAGTATGATGTGTGATAACACTAACATGAATTTCTTCTAGCTTCTTCATAATTTCACAGAGAGATGCATTCTCATTGTGTCTTATAAACCTCAGCATAGAATTGTTTTCTTTCCTTAAGAAATCAAGAACTTTCATCTTTTTACTTAAAAAAAAAAGTAATTTAGGGCTTCTGACAGCTGAATTGCCAACATTACTGCCTGAACCTGAACGCAAGCACTGTGACAGCTGGTAACTGATGTGATAACTGAGATGGCTACTGAGTGACTGTTGACATGGGAATAGAGAGAAAGGGATGATGCATGTCACAGGAGAGATGGACTGAGACTTCATCACGCTATTCAGAATGTCACATAATTTAAAACTTGTAAGTTGTTAGCATCTGGAATTTTCCATTTATTATTTTCAGACCACAGATGACAGACGGAAAATGCAAAAGGCAAAACTGTGGATAAAGGGTTGGAGAGTCTAATGTGTCTCTATTTCTTTCTAATAAGTGAGTGAAGATCTGACTTCTGTTGCCATATAGTATACACTCTCATATTAAGGTCATTCTGAGTCCATAACCTTTTGAGATTTCTCTGTAGATAGGGTACCTTAACATATAGACATGTTAACTATTTTCTACAGATATCAAAATCCTAAGTCTCTGAAATACACTTTATTGTTGAATTTTACAATCAGTCACAGTATAATTCATTTAAAATCTGTGTACAAAATATGTATTTGTCATTTTCTTACCTGGTGCTGTGGAATATGCATACAGAAAGTCGGCCTCTACTGGTATTTTCTGGCATGCCATGTCATCATCAAAACCACTGTCTGTCTCAATGCCACAGTCCAGTTCCGTACCCCGGCAAGCCTGTAGGTTAGAAAACAAACATTTCTTTAAAAATATATGTGAAAAAAATGTGTACGCACACATAACTTATATCTAACATAAAGGCTATGTATGTGAAAACTGATAGGAATTATAATGAGTCTTAATATAATTTAAAAATTGAAATGTACTTCATATTTTCTAAGTGTAGTTTGAATACTTAAAAAAGTAACAGCAATTGTGTATGCCCTCTTCCCCCAAAAATAAGTCCTTCTCACAGTTGAACAAATTATTCTCTGACTGACCCTCAATAACCCAGGTACTCAATTACACACTACCTGAATAATGAAAAGTTTGGGTTTTCCAGCTAGACTTCTACAAAGATCGCCCCTGAAGAACTTTGTTAATCTTTTCAGGTCAACAGGTCCATTTGTTCCAAAAATTATTCCTTCTTCACCATGGCTTAGAATTACACAAATAAAGCTGCTCCTTTTGCTATGATCTTCTTTAGAAACTAGACAGACATTTACAAATAAGAAAAAATTAAGTCTTTGCAACTTAATCCAGATTAAGAATAATTTCAGATAAACTGTGTAAAATCAAGAAGTTGAAAAATAACTACAAGATCATCTAGGTTTAATTTGGGACAAAGTCACACACCTGAAACCATTTTAGGGCTTGACATAAGCAAAATCTTTCATTTCTTACTCAAACACATAAGATCAGAATTACATGCAGTACAATTTCACAATTCTCTTATTTTATAATATATAAGATTGTAGATTGTAATATAAAATTGGCCAGTGAAAGTCATTCTCTTAATGACTTCTTACCATTGTACAACAATTCCATAATTTCTTCACTGGTAAGATCATTTTTATTTCTTACTTCGTATTTCAAGTTCATAAATGTTTCTCTGATGTTTGCTGCATCTACATCTGTACCAGATCGAGCTGTCATTCCTTGGAACAAAAATAATTACTTTTAATATGTTTTAACTGCTTTGAAATGAACTATGCAGCATTCACAAAAATCAATGAATTCTTCCTTTTAAATGCTCAGACTAATTATAAAACACTTCATACTGTGAGCATTCCTGCTATGATCGCCACAGGGATATTATTCATAGCTGCTTAAGCATCCCAAAACAGAAAATGAATTTGAATACCTAATAATAGGGGGTTGGCTAAGTAAGTTATGATTTATCTGTACATTTATCTATGTTGTCATTTTGTTTTTAGATAAAATTTTGTCATGGAAAAGTAGTCATTGTTTAAAGAAAACCAATATGGTTCTACTTTTAAGAAAATACTGTACATATTCACAGGGACTATATCACTTTGATTCTAAGTTCCCAATGATGTAAAACACCCAAAACTAGCCTATTAATGCTGTCCATTAGGCACTGCACAATAGATAATCTCTTTTAATCCTTCTAACCATCTTGAGGTAGGCAATTATTACTAGCTTCATTTGCATGGATGTGAGACCATATAGCACAGACAGCGAGGAAACTTGCCAGGACTGGAACCACAGCTCAGTGTTAGAGCGTGTGCTTTGCGTAAGAGAGGCTCTAGATTCAATACCCAAGGCACACCCAAAAAGTTTTTAAAAATTCATTAAGCAAAAGGAACATAAAGCAAAAGAAAGTGGCTTTTCTTTTTAATTTATGGTTGAAGTTGGTAACTTGATTTACAGCCAAAAGCAATAAAATAGTGCTAATCAAATTTAGAAACTAATTTTCAACTATTCTGTTTTCTTTTTAACAACTCTAATAAAAATCCTCAAAAAAAAAAGTCCCTTCAATCCCCGGTTCTGCCAAAAAAAAAGTAAATAAATAAAAACAAAATAAAAATAAAAGTCTTGCTTCTTTTCCAGTACAATATGGCTGCCTCTGACTGTTGCCGCCACTCTGGTATCTTAAATTTGAATGACTGTATCTAGTTCCTATAACAAAAAATTAATTCTAATATGATTAATATTCCAACTTAAAAAGAATTTTCATAGTACCATCTGAAAGATGAATAACAGGAAAATAGCCAAAATGTTCACTCATATGGTAAATGACACAAATTAAATGAACAGTATTTTGAGATTCAGTAATATAGAACCATTAAAATAACAGTTGTAAAATTATACAGTAACACAAAAATGCTCATATTATATTAAGGAGAACAAGCAGGATACAATTTTGTTTTCAGGGAATGAATAAAATCAATCTTTTCCAAAAAAACTACCAAGGAAAAGAAGAAATATACCTAAGTGCTAATTAGCTTTTTTGGAACTGTGAAGGATTTCATTTTCTATATTCTCTAAGAAAATTCTAAAATTAGTAGATTCCAAATGTATGTACTGCACTAAGAATGGGGTCTGGTAATCAGGCCATTGTCAACGTAAGGAAGCAGCTTCAGTGGTAAAGGTAGAAAGTAGAGGCAAAGGTTAGGAGGAAAAGAAAGAAACATCAGAGCAAAGATTAAGAAGTAAAAGAAGGTCTTTAATATGGGGAACAGAGGAAATGGAGACATAAAGAAGTAAAGCACAACTCAGCTCAGCCTGTGGAATCAGTGAGATGAAGGCCCAGGCCCTCAGGTCCTGGCTCTGCTCCAGCACTACCTGTGCCTAAGTTTCTAACCTTCTCGAATCCAACAGCAGAGTTTTCTTAGGGCTTGCTATAAAAATAAATGAGACAGTTACTGTGATACACCTGCAGATTCTGGAAAGAAGTATCATTTCTTAATTTTTTTGGTTTTTGGTACTGCAAATCAAACTCACAACCTCATGTGCTTGCCAGACAGGCACTGGGCTGCTGAGCTATATTCCTGGCTTGCCCTTAATATCTTGTGAGAACCTTTTATTGGTCTAAAAGAGGGAGGAAGGATAAAAAAGCAAAGAGTGGGGGCAGAAGAAGCCAAACACAAAGGTAAGAGGTCCGCTGTCCCAAAAGGGAGAAATTTGTTCACAAGTAGGAAAGTTAAAAGTTTGTATCATATTATCAGACCCGCAAGGTGTTGCCTTATCTCCACCTTGGTACTCTGTATCACAGGCTACTGACTAATAAAAACATCAAACACTTTTTGTATCATATCAAATATACACAACACAAATATTTGAAAAAAAAAATGAAAATTAGGTGAGATACATACCAGTACTTTTATGAAAGTTCTTATTATTAATTATTATACAGAGACCCATTTCAGGATAATCCATTTTGTATCTGCTGTCCAAGAATATTCCGGAGTCCATTGATTTGCTTCCATGTATGATCTTTCTGTTTGGAAATCAGATACTTTAAAAAGATAAAAGTGACAACTCCACTAATATAATAAGTTTATTGACTAAAAGAACAGCTAACAAGCTGTTTAAAGCTGCATACCAAATTTTTTGCTATAGGATCTTCCTAATTGAAAATTTTAGAACAATCCATTTTACAGATGTAAAAATGATCCATCGAGGCTAAGAGATATGCTGAAGGCCATGCAGATGTTCTATAAGGGGCAATGGGAAGAAAACTGGGCTTCAGAGTTTCAGCTTTTAACCTTTATGTTCCTTATTTCCCTTTAAATTTTAGTCTAATTTTATAAAACACATTTTGTAATTTAAAAACTCTAACTTTGCAAAGTACTTTATAATTCAAGGTAAGACTACGATCTTCAAATTACTCTGAAATGACAGAAAACCACTACATTGTTCCTCAAACTCTATGAGCTAAAAAAGTTACTAGTTAATGATTTATAAAAGCACCATTATGGATAATTGAAAACACTTGTCTGACAGGAGGATCACTAGGAGTCTGAGCTGTGTTGCGAGATCTTGTACCAAATAAGTAAATTAAAAAAGAATAAAAATAAAAATTAAAAATAAAAAAAAGAAAATATTTGTCTGAAAGTCAATTCTCAAGGGCCGGTCAGATAGCTCAGTGGACTAAAGC